GTTGACTCACCCATGTAATTACTATTGTCAGTGTTTTTCAGGAGATGTGGTGCTTTCTACTTGAGTCACGAAAAAACTTCTAATCTCCACCGTACGGGGCAGGAGCTGCAGCTTAAGTTCACTTAGAGATGTTGATTGTTGCATATCGTATTCTTTGAGAACTCTGCAGCGATGCTTATGAAGAGAACCTTCATAAGCATCCTCTTTCAAGGATGGGAAGAGGAGATTAAAAGTGTGCTTAATAAATACTATGTTTTTTTAAAGGTTTTGTTGGCTCTAGTGGCCTTTATTTTAAAGTAGTTTGACAGGAAAGAGGGAGAAGACATGCAGCAAATGTTGCCAGGCCAGGAATCAAACTTGTGACCTCCAGCATGAGGATTAAGGCCTCAATACCTGGGTTGTGCTTTTCCCCTGCGCCACCACAGCACCAATAAATACTATGTTAAGAGTTGTTGCTTTCGAAAGGTACTTGTAATCTGACAAAAAAGTCACGTTAGAATGCATCTCCTGATTTACTGCGATGTAAAGGGAATCAGCGTCAAACATATAGATTAGAAATATTTGACGGCCTCTCCTCTGTGATTATACTGCAGCTGTTATGTCCTCGGGGGTTTGGTGCATGTTTGCGTGTGTGTATGTGCGTGTGTGTATGTGTGTTTCCTCCCTTGCCTTCAAGCTGTTCCTCAGTAAGCAACAATCAAGAGGAGTTTGAAGGAAGAGCGGATTCCTGGTTGACTTACACCGGCTGCTTTTCCATTGACCTTAAAATTGTGAAAAGTGAAATCATGAAATAAATTTGCTTAATGGAGACAACTGCAATTTTGAAAACAAACAACAAAAAAGTTTTTTGAATAAAAAGCTTTTGCATTAGGACGAGATGCTTTTTCATTCATAACAAAATTGGTTTATTCCACAAAACTGCAATAGAAACAGATGATCAACAACTGTATGTTGCCACTGGAGGAAACCACAAAGAAGACGACGATGGGAAGCAGTTAGAGGATGATGGCGCTGCATATTTCTTGATAACTTATTGGATGAACAAGCTCATTTATGATTCAATGATTTTAATTGTTATTAATGTTCCATTTAATAAAAACACTGCAATTGCAAAATTTTTATTTTTTTTTTTACTTTACTGACAGTTTTATTCATATTTGTAATGGAAACGCAGCTGCTGTGTGGTAATCAGGCCTTCTCATTTCTCTTTGCTGGATTCTGCAGTAGAACTAACTTCTGCCTTTTGTTTCCTCCTCACAGTCCTTCGTCTTCATATCATCGGCTCCTGGTTCCCTGGTTGACACCATGTGGGTTCTCCGTTCAGCTCGTTGAGTAATAACTAAACTGAATGGAAATTTAAATGCAATTGTATTTGTAATTTTTTTTCACAAAAAATGTATGAGTAAATGTAGACTATGATGCAATATTTTTGACTCAGTCAATGAAAGCATCTACCGCGACCGCTGGTGTAGAGAAATGTTTCACAAGACAAAGTTTGCAACTTGGTCTGTAATGTGATGGATCTGACAGAACTGCTGAGGGCTGTGTCATGATCAGACTTGAAAGACACCCAGAAGTGTTTTATTTTCTGTGGTGCAGCAAAGATTTGCATGTTAAACTAAAAGCAGTTAATATACACAGGAAGTGCATTCATTGGTGGAGAGAGAGAAAAAAAAATCCTCTACAACAAGAAGCAATATAGCAGCTCTCTAGAACTTGAATTCATTAGCTCAGTGTCAACGGGTGATTTCAAGGTTTGTTTAGTTTACTTTGATGTGGATGCTTACACTCCCACCAATAAAGCCTGAACTATTACCAAAACTCATGCATTATTTTAAAGTTTTCCTTAAAACCATGCAGATTGTTTCAAACATGCTTGTCTGTGTACATTCAGTTTATGAGTCATTTTCCAATAACGCCACCAATTTTAACACAGGACTTATTTTTTAAAGCAATACATTTATTGTGCAGTAGGAAAACATATGAACAACATGAAGAATATAATGACAAATTATTATCATGTGGCTTTTTCATGGTGCTGGATCATTCTTACTTCTAGATATCAAAGAAAAAATCTGAATTAAACCATAAAAACACAACTGAGAACAAACTCCAGATTCTCTGCAACAAAGATTCCAACTTTCTATGTAACAGTAAGTGATATCCATTTATATACTGTTATGTACATATATACACTAGTAAGCCTTGACTTAATAATATCAGGGTATACAGTAATACTATCTGCTGAGTAATCCTCCAGATGGATTACTACATGTCATGTTGTGACGTAAAGTAATCACGATGACCTTAAACTGAGACTTACATTGGCCTGACATCACAGGAAAAAGAGACTTAAAGAAAATATGCATATAAAAACAGACATAAGTCACAATTGCAGCAGGTTTACAGTGTAAACATAACAACTCTGACGAAAGTTTTTCGCTCAGTTGTGTTTCCTCTGCCTGGAAACTCAGTCAGCTTTGCTTGATTTGTTCTTGTGTGTCTGATTCTATAGTAAGAGACAGAATGGTGCTGACTTCAATCTTCTTTGATGGAGGGAGGAGAGGCTGGTGTGTCTTTAATTTGTAAAAGCTGTCCAATATTTAAAAAATGAAGATAAAGACCATCTATTTTTTTACAGCTTTGGTTAACATATTTACAAAATATATTCTAAGTCATAAAATGCTGACACAGCAAGCTAATGTTTCGCAATAAACCTCCAACGTCTCCTCCTCTCATAAACCACAGATTTTGGTGTTGAGCAACACACACACACACACACACACACACACATAAGCACATACACACGCAACAAGTTTCAACTCATCTGAATCCATCTGATACTGAATTTGGTATTCCGATCAATATCTGTGGTTGTGTATGCATACACAACCACATGATTTGAAATGGCATGTTGTCCCTGTTCAACAGGATTTTTATGACCAGCTCTAATGATTCATCACTACACCAGAGTATTTTAGCCACAGTAACTGGAAACATCTCCAGACATTTCTGTAGAATGTAATTCCAAATTTTTTGGTGAAAAATTCATCTATCAGCAGACTGTTCTTGGAGTGCATATCTAAAACATTTGCAAGAAAATGGAGTTTGGGAAGCTGACACAAGATCTCATTTAAAAATGACACATCTGTTCCAAACAAACTGCTAGAATCACCTATGATGTAATACGTAAGGCACTGCATGGGCCGTATCAAAACCTAGCATGTGATCATATGCTAGGTTTATAAAAGTCAAACTAATGTTACTAATCCTATAATATCAGTATTGATCTTATATTCATAACATTAATTCCACCTGAATTTCAGGCCAAGCAATTCCTACAAAATGCAAAGCTTTTGTACAAATTTACATCATACTGATTAGATGAATATTACATTTCAGCTTTTGAAGTTGGAGTGCATATCCAACTTCAAAAGATGGATATGCACTCCAACTTTGAAGTAGTTTTTGAAGTAGTTTTGAAGTAGTTATCTCATCTTTTTTTTTAATGCTTCCTTATTTTAAAAAGAAACAGAACAAAATAATAAAAAGGGATGCTTCTTCCATCATACAAAATGAGAATAAAGGGAAAATAAGGAAATTCAAAAGAATATCGAATTGAGCAATATCTTTGTTCTTCTTTTTTGTCCCGTGTTTTATCAGTCTTGTAGAGGCAGGGGAATAAAGCTGCAGTTTCTTTTCCTCTAAAGATGCTTTCAGTCTGAACAGCCTAACAACTATTGCTCTATTTAATGAATTTATTGAGGTGCTTACAATGTCGAAATAAAATGCAAAAACCATGAAACTTTTTCTTGCACGTAACGATCACGCGGTGGTTTTTAGCATCAAAGCCTTCCCCCCGTGTTTGCTCCCTTCGTTGACTTGGTGGAAGCGAGAGCAAACTCACAGAGTGTTTTCAGGAGTGTTTAAGAAAGACTCACGTTGCTTCCCATCATCAGTTCCTATCGTGGGAATTGCTGTTCTGTCATCTTTGTTGACCAAAATGTGTTTCTTCAGGCCTGGGAAACATTTCACCAGCAGCTGTTTGAAGTGTTCCTGGAATTCCCTTTTCATAAGTGTATAAAACATTGGACTGATGCAGAAGTAAATGTACGCCATGTTGCGGGTGACATGAAGAGCGTAACCGAGTTTCTTTTTAGCTTCACAGCTCAAAAGAGACTCTAATTCATAATGCAGGAGTTCTACAATGTTAAAAGGGATCCAGCAGATGAAGAACAAAACTACGATCATAAATATCATCCTGACTGCTTGGAATTTAGAAGCCAATTGGGATTTTTTAATGGTGATCACAATCCTAACATAACAAAATATGATAATAGCCAGAGGGAGGATAAAGAAGACAAAAAGCTGAATATAAAACCCAGATCTTTTGAGCATCTCTACATTCAAATCATCAATGTTAGCAAACTCCTCACAGTGCATCGTGCCCAAATGCTTATAGGTGCCATGGAGGATCATGGGCCTAATGCAAGCCAAACCACTGATCACCCACACCACTGCACAGGAAATCACTGCGTAACGATGATTCCTCACATTTGTTGAGGTCAGTGAAAATACAACAGAAACATAGCGATCAATAGTCAGCAGAGTTAAAAAGAAAACAGAACTGTAAAAACCCATGTAGTAGGCACTGAAGACGATCTTGCACATAGCTGAGCCAAAAATCCAGTCAGACATCTGCATGTAGACGGCCTGGAAGGGAAGGCTGCTCATTAAGATCAGGGAGGACGCCACCAGGTTGACCAGCAAGATGTTGATCACAGTGGTCAGCCTCTGGAACCTGGAGGGAAGATGGTAAAGCTAATAAGTTATTTTGGAAGCATAGTTACATTCTCAAACTTCCGCAGCACGAAAATCTGTGGATTTGATTTCATGCAGGTCTGCAAAACATTAAGGTGAAATTCCTGGTTCAGTTTCCAAAGTCACGATTTTGTGGAATGTTGTTGAAAAGCAGAAAAGGTTTGTTTTATTTTTGGGAATAGAAAATGGTTCAGTTTGCTCACCATTCCAAGTTTATCTATTGTTTAATCACATATAAATGATGTTCTGTGAAGGCCTCAGAGGTCCGCTAGAGCACAGGAGTGAATAAACAGAAACATGAAGGCCAAGGGACAAGGCAGACAGACGGGTCATGGAGAGGTCAGAAGCAGAGTTGGATGATAAGGGGCTTAATGGTGCAGGTATTCATACCGAATATTTTCACTCCAGATATTTCAGTTCGAGATGCACATGAACCAAACATGTTGTAGCTTTAAACCGTTACACATAAAGTTTTATCAACGTTTTGAACAAAAAACGCTGTTCCACCCTGAACCTTTAAAAAGCAACACCAAAACAAAGCATTCACCATACCTAACGTCTGCTACAGTGGACCCCCACATATTACAGAATCATCTATTAGTGGATTTTTCTATGGAACAAAACTCCAAATGAATGGGAATCCTATTTTTCATGTAAGATATTCAAAGAAAATGTAGTTTGGGAAGCTGAAAAACCAAAAAGCTGGACACAATGCTACTGGACATACTATTGTCTGGCATATGCAAAGCAGTTAATTGAGGAGCAGCAGGTGAGTCTGTGAGTAATAAGTGGGGGTCCACTGTAGCAGACATTAGTTACTTTCCTTGGCTCTGATTGGCTGTACCCTCCAGGGGAAATAAGGAAGACTGTGGATACTACCTTTGCCAGCAGCGCTAAAATAGTTTCCTCTGTTTGTATTAATGCACATTACAGTTTGTTTGGCTCTTAAAAGTGCTCTTAAGAGGACTTTTAAGACTTTTAACCAATTCTTTGGTTTNAGAATTGTATTCCAACAATTCTTAAACCAAAGCTTAATACATAACGGTTGACAGACGATGTTGATTCAATGAACAGCTTTCTCTAAGCTGAACGCCATTGCTTACTTGAGCCAAGTGTAAATATCACCAGTGACCTTTAGCCGGTCACTGGAGGAACTGCAGACATACAACAAACATCCATGGGATTGTGAGGAGGGGTCAGACATCACAATGTTTTCCCACTAGCTGAACTCCAGTGGTGCCTTCAAGTACAACTCCTGAACTGGATTGTCTACATGTCCAAATGTTGGGAGGAACAACAAACTTGACTATATTTGAATTGTTGAAATGTCTGACAATAATTTTCTTAAAAGATAAATGAGCTTTTATATGTTAGAATCAAATAAGATGAATAGTTGCTAAGGCATTGTCAGAACAGGGCAGCATGCTCTGTTTTTGTCCTTTCATTGCCACACATCAGGAGGTTGCCCTCCACAGCCGCCTCCTCCAGCCCCAGTTGCGTGCGCATGGCCATGACATACACACGCAGCTTATGAAAGATGTCTTTCCTTTCATTCCAATGTCTTATCCGTAATTTGTGTTGAATATTAATTTGTCGTGGAATGCTGGGGTTGTTCCCATTGTCTGGTGTGAACTTTGTGTCGGTCTCCTTCTTTGGAAATGTTTAAATGGTGAAAACATTATATAGTGCTCAACACTTAATTTACCCACTGTCAATGTCAAAGTCAAATTTATTTATATAGCACTCTAAAACAGGAATAAAGCTGCACCAAAGTGCTGTACAAGAACCACTACACAAATGATAGAACAGAGTATAAAACAATACATCAATTAAATGCCAAAGAGTAAAAATGAGTTCTAAGAAGCAATTTAAAATGATCCTGATACTGTTGAGTTAGTGAAATTGTTTGAGGATTTCATAATGTGAGCTTTGAGTTAATAATGTAAAAATCAGCTCGTTTTTTTTCTGTCAGAGTTCTTCTTCATAACCGGATGTGAGATTAAAAAAAAAAAATGCTTTCTGTATTTGGTGAGTTGTGTTATCTGCATTTGCATGGATAAAAAAAGATTTTCAAGATAATCCTTATAAGGGAAGAACTGAAATATGTCATTGCATGTTGTTGGCATTTGTAAAGGCCAACAAAATATTTAGAATTCTGTCCCCTGGTTTGTGGTGCTTTGTTGTATTGTTTGGTATTTATAAAAAACATTCACCCCATTGGAAAGTTTGCCCTTTTTCCTGCTTTTATGAATCAATCACCAACAACACAGTTTGACATTTTTTGATAAAACAAAGAAAAACTCTTAAGTTGATGTGAAAACTTGTTTCTATAGAATAATGACAAATAAAAATGAGGAAAAAAATAAGAGATTTATGTAATCTCTTATTTTATACAGTCTCTTATTTGTATAAAATAAGTGGAGATTGATAGGCGGATTGGGGCTGCATCTGCAGAGATGCAGGTGTTGTATAGTCTCTGTCTGTTGTAGCGAAAATGTACCACAATCTACCGGTGGATCTACGTTCCTACTCTCATCTATGGTCACAAGCTCTGGGTAGGGGTTGAAAGAACAAGATCATGGATGCAAGTGGCCAAAGTGACTTTACTCCCTTAGCGTTAGGGTGAAAAGCTCAGTCATCAGGGCAGGGGTCAGAGTAGAGCCGCAGCTCCTCCACATTGGGAGGAGTTGGCTGAGATGTCTCAGGCATCTGGACAGGAGGTATCCTAGACACCTCCCTGTTGAGGAGTTCCAGGAACGTCCCACCAGGAGGAGATCCAGAGGAAGACCCATGACATGCTGGAGGCTGAAGGCCGTGGGATTTTTCCAGAAGAGCCAAGTGCCTAGAGAGAAGGGAAGTCTGGGCCTCTGCTTAGGCTGCTTCCTCCATGACCCAACCCAGGATAAGTGGAAGACAACAGCTGAATAAATTAATGCCACCTGAATGTTGTTTCTCATTATGTCCTTCACATTATGACCACAGTGTATCCATATTATGGCTACTTTCAGCAGGATAATGCACATTATCTGCAGGCAACATTCAGTGTATGCTACACTCTGCCTATAGCTCCAGTTTTAATTCACTGTACACATAAATACCTGAAATTATAGAAACACATACACAACCTCCTTAACGATGCGGGGGGTAACCTTGGCGTTTCAGTGGATGTCAAGCAGGGTCCAGGGTTAGGGGGTCTTCCTTGGTGCAGATATTGTTTGTGCAGAGGCTCAGGCTACATTGCAGCATGGCAGGTTCCTGACTCTTGGGGAGATATTTGGGCAACTATGCTACCCACATGGTGAGGACCCCTTCCTGCTCACCCTTCTTCCTAGGGAGGATTGCATTGTGTTCTTCATCTGTTCTTCTGAGTTTTTGTTTCCAAGGTGGGTTGATGGTTATTTGGCAGGTTGGGGTTCAGGAGCATCTCCCCTCCTGCTGGGGGTTGTGTGGGCGCATGGCTGGTGGGAGGCTTTGTCTGCACTGCGGTACATGGCTGGTCCGGGGAGTCTGGTGCCATGTGTCTCTCCCTCAAGCTCCACTCCTTCACTCAGCTCAAACCCTGTGCTGTGTCACTGAATTGACTGTCCTGTGGAGATGCCTGTTGGCCCCAGTTCCATGCTGCTCTTGGACACAGAGTGTTGACGTATCGGCCCTCTAAGAATTTTGCACCTCTAATTGAAAAATCCCCTCACATACATGCCCACCTCTTGCCCTATAATAGCTGGAGGTACTACACCCCTCCACTCAACCCAACCCCACCAAACACCCACCCCATGACCTTCCATTGAAAACTGGGTATAGCCAAAGGATGGATGGATTCTGTACATGAAATCTAAGCAGAAAATAACTTGAAGAATAAGGCATTCATGCCATTGAGCTAGCACATTCATCTATTATTAGTTTATAAGAGCTTAACATTTATATATATTTACATATAAATGCCTGCATTTTTAATACAATTTGGTGGTTTACTCACCGGTGGATGACAACCAGAACCAGCAGGTTGGTGATAACATTGAAGACAAACATGAAGTAGTAAATGTAAGACAGATTTGCTCCCAGTATGTTATCATCATCCCTGTAACACGGTTCAACCGGCTCTTCTGGGACTTTGCTGGTAACATAACTGATGTTTGTCTGAGTCATCTTTGTGTAAAATCTGTCAAAAGCAGAATACACAAAGTCACATTGTCAGTTAAAACATAAGACTTACTGTTTTACATTATTTTATGGTAATCTACAAAAAGCAGACCATATCTAAAACACCACAGTATGCCATGTGCTGAGACTTGGAAATCATCATTTTAAAAACCATGCTAGAGTAAGTAAATAGAAAATAGAGCAAGAAATGTACGTATTTAATAAAAAATGGCAATATTCAAAAGCAGAAATTACTTTTCTCACCACTGATCCGACCGAGAAGCTTCAGGTTGTGATTGTGAAAGTCCGTCTGATACTAAGTGACTTGTGTCACCAAAAGAAAGGAAGTTTCACACAGTGCATGTCTGTGTGCATGTCTCTCCCTGATTTCAGTACGATAACACCGGAAGTTGACACAATCTGTACACACAGTTTCAAACACAACATCTTATATAACAAATTTCTAAGTTACCACACCACGTCACTATGGTTTTTGACCAGTTTAACTGATAATTCTACAAAAGGAAATGCTCAAGATATTCTCCTGATGTGAGTTATATTAGAACATTTAATCATCTTACGAACAAGATAAAGATTACCAAGATATGCTCAGGGAGAAGACTTTGCTCAGCAGCAGAAAGTTTTGCAGAGAAGAGTCTGACCATATCAATTTGTGGTCTTTTTTTACGTGTTTATTACTGACACCGAACCAGACAGAATCACACTGAGGAACGTGTGACATTACCTGAAATAACAGTGGGAATTGGTTTGATCAGTGCTTATTTCATTTATTTCAAGCAATGTAAGCTTGACAGAAATGTGGACACATCATACAGAGAAATGTGTTGGCGTTCCATTAAAGCAGAACATTTGTATTTCCACTTTTAGGTTGGAGTGCCTATGAAACGTATTCACCCCCTCGGATGTTTTACCCTTTTTATTGCTTTCACAAATCAGTCAAGATCAACAAAATTGAGCTTTTCTGACAAGTAAAACATACACAAAAACCTTAAATGTCAAACAGAAAACCAATTTCTAAAACAATGACCAAGAAATAAAAATATTTGCTGCAAACATAAAATGTTTGCAGCATTTTGTAGATGCACTTTTGGCTGCACAGTCTGTGTGGATCGCCCTCAATCAGGCTGCACATCTGGACAAAGTTTTCCTTCATTCTTCCTGGCTAAGCTGTTCCATGTCCGTCAGGCTGAGTGGGGATCGGCTGTCAGGCATCAGGTTGAGGTCTGGGCTTTGACTGTGCCACTCCAGAATATCCGCCTTGTTGTCATTGCAAAAGACTCCTATTTCCACATTGTCAAAATTTAGTATTCACATGTAGAATTTTGAGGAGGGAGATTAGTTCAAAACAATTTGGAAATAAAAGGATGCAACATAGCAAAATGTGAAAAAAAGTGAAGGGCTGCGGATACTTTCTGGATTTAGGCCATAAATCTCTGTTACATTTCCAGCTGTTGTATGTTTATTCTAGTACATACGTAAAGCTGCAGATGTAACTTTTATTAAAAAAAAAAACAGTTTTTTTACATATTTGTTGAAACTTTTTTGGTTTTTCACACCACTGAAAGTGTTGTGAAAATGCAGCGTTACATATAGTAACGTCATAATTGCCATAAAATGATTGCAGTATTTTGTAGATGCACTTTTGGCTGCACAAAGTCTGTGTGGATCGGCTTCAATCAGGCTGCACATCTGGACACAGCCTGATTGAGACCGGTGTTGTTGTTTGTGGGGAGAACTGTTTCTGTTGTTTCTTTTTCTTTCTTTTTTGGGGGTGACTCTTTATGTCAACAAATCGTCACATGGTTTCAAAAAGGTCCATGGTTCTGTAAAAGCACTCAGAAAACAATACAGTAATGCACTATTAGAAAATATCATTTTCTTTCTTTTGAATACTTGAGTATTTTCAGAAATAAGCACTTCAGTACTTTAACTTGAGCAAACCTTTGACTGAGCAACTTTCCCTTGTAGCCTAATAAGAATTGATCATGAGTATGAATACTTTTACTCAGTTGCTACATCTTGGTTGGTATGCTGGTTGGTATGATGTTCTTGGTCTTGAAAGCTTCAACTGCACTCATCCAAATAAACCTTCTGTTGTCAAACACTTCCCCTTTATCTTGTTTGCAGCCGTCTTATTCGCTGGTCGTACAAACACTAACACCACATGGTTTGGTCCTCTGCTTGTTTATTTACACAAATGCATGCATCAGAAACAAAACTCCTCTATTAATGTCTAGCAATGTAAAACACAGCATTAGTAGATTGAATAATAATTATGGACCAGGATAAAGCTGAACATAAATACTTCTAACCACATAATACTTTTAACTATGAATGGATGATGCAAAGGCAATTAAAGTCCATTTAGATTGTTGCTGCAAAGTTACACATGACTGTTCATAACATCTTTAATAACATTAGCTGAGAATTGGCGGCTTGCGTTAGGTTGCCACAGGTCTAAATTTTTCAAGTGAAATGCCCTCCGATTAACATTAATTAATCAGGCACAACTCTGTAACCATGGATACATGAAACAAATAACACTGTCGCTTTATTTTAGCATTTGTTTGCAAGTGAACCACTGAGATGCTAAAGACAGAGAAAATAGGACTCAATAAGTTTGATATAGCATCTTCAAAAGCAGTCGGTATCTGTCAAAAGCAAAAGAACAGCAGCGAACGGGTGATATGACCATCAGATGAGCTGTTATAGTTCAAATAACAGACAGAAAATGTCAGGATACGTGCTTATAGAAGTACATATGCATAGGAAGCACCCTTGCACAGAGCCAAAATTCTTCAGGAAGGATTTGATTGTGTTGACTTGGTCTCCAAATCCCTCTGATCTCTACCCAGCCCAGCATGTGAGGAATGAATTGGAAAAACAAGCCTGATTCCTACAGGCCCCACCTCCCACTTGGTCAAACTGGTCAAACTACAGACACAGTGCCACCAGATGCCACAGCACATCTGCACATCTGCAGGGTTCTGGTGGAGTCCTTACCAAGACAGCTCAGGGCTGGGTTGGCACCAAAAGGGGAGACAAGATTCTATTGGGCAGGTGGTCATAATGTTTTGCCTCATCAAAAATAACAGCATATTCCATTCAGGTTATCAACACCAAGCGTCTAATACACCAGGGTGTGATTGCTGCAATGAAAGTGAAAAGACAGATAAAATGCTAAGTCATAAATACTGAATGGTTTCCATGACAACATTTCCAAATGATTCTGAATCAGATATTGAGAGAAACAACAAAACACAAAGCAGGTTACAGTCCCTCCAAGATTTCACGACTGTTTTTGTGAATTTTTTATTTATTTTTATTCAAAATCACTGACTTTGAGGGGATCCTATTTGTAAGGAATTTTGCGAAACCCTCATGAAGCCACTTCCAAAATCTACATCTATGAGAAAAATATTAGAAATAAAAAATAAAAAAAAAGCAGGCAAATTGAACAAATACTTATTTAATCTTTAAAGAACTTAAATAACTTGATTTTTGTTACTCCCCTTATTGATTATGGATTATAACTTGGCATCAAGTAAGGCTGAGGAGGCAGTGTAGTAAAAGTAGGAAATACTGCCACCTGCAGGCGGGTGTTAGAATCTGGAACATTTATAATAATCTCACAATTATGCATTAGGGTGGGAATGTGGGGAAAAAATGTGGGAATCTGTTGATTTTGAGTAAATTTCCGCAGTTGTGGAATTGCAAAAAACTGGAGGGACTCAAAATGTTTCTGTCGAGGATTTTGACAAACAATTGTCAGAGAAAAGTAGAGGTAGATATTTTTATTGACCAAAATATCAGTCTCTCCGTCGATGAATTAAAAACATCCCCTACTTTTCAGTTCAGGAATTGGGAATCATCTGGGATGGTATTTGGAAGAGCCTTGGCTTCTGGACTACTGGCTGCGTTTCATGGTGAACCTCATGGTCTTAGACTGCATTTCCAACGTAATGAGGTTCCGACTGCCTCCAGTGCAATGATTCCCACACAGTCTCTTTTGAGGGAGTCAGCAGTGATACAGTGAATGACTTCCTCCAAACATCTGGACGGAGAGCTAAATCCAGTTTTTCAGACATCCGGCCCTTTGTTGTAATGTTGCCTGTGGTTGTAGGTCCGATAACACATGGACACATCGCAAACTCCTGGAAGACCTGGGATGCCCTGTTTACCGGGATCTCCTTGTAGTCCAGGTTTTCCTTGAATTCCTTGACTGCCTGGATAGCCAATACCATCAAAGCCTCGAGGACCCTGCATTCCTACAGAAATAAGAAGAGATGAAAAAAAAAATTGCGGTAAGACTTTTCAGGAAGTACTCGACATCTTACTTGGCAGTGAAGTTGATACATCTTTTAGAATTGAAAAGAAGATGGATTATATACGTTTTTGTTCGGAGGTCCTTGTATGTGAAAATTTCTTCATAAAACAAGATAAATTGAATACTTTGCTAAGGATGTATAAATAACTTTATTTTCTTAATTTAAATTTGAAGTATTGTCAAATGATGGTCAACTTTATTCAATCTAATGAGGACTTTTTAGAAAAATAGCCATCTAAAATAACCACACTGCAGTATTACATCTACTGAAATATCTTGCTGAAAATGTCACTCAAATTGTTAAGAAGGTGTCATGGAAAAAATAACAGAATAATTTTTATCATAGATTTCCTAGGCTACCCAAATTCCTCCTCGGATTGGTTGATCAGGCCCTCTTGATGTTTCCTTCCCCAGAAGCTTGAGCTCCTGAGCTAAGTCCAGATTTAGTGAGAAGGACCCAGAGCATGAATCAGCAGGGCTTTGTCCTGTTTAATATTCGGCTGCAATATGTTTTTGTTGTTGCTTTGTTCACTATCCTCCTTTTAGAATGTGTCTTTATTTACTACCTTTAAGGTTGTTTTCCATTTGTACTCAGAGCTGTTCTGAATGCATAGTTAGCCAGGGTGAGAGTGACCTTTGACCTGAAATAAGTTGTTTATACTGACATTTCATTTCAGTTCTGTGGGTAAGACAAACCCCCTGATTTCAGAAAAATCGTCCCTTTAGAGGCCGTTTGGTGCTGAAAGTTGATGATACCAGATGGTTCAGATTAAAATTCACCCTCTTGTTTTCTTATCCATCTGAGAATAATCCAAAGACCAGAGTCAAAATATGGTTATAAATTCCTTTTTTTCAGGCTCCTGGGAGATTTAGAATCTCATGACAAATGCTGTATTTAAACAGTCAAGATTTAATGTTTTTCAGTCGTTCTCAACTTCAAGCATCCTTCAAGCCTCTTAAGAGTCATTTGGACCCCATGAGCATTTTACTCTCTCTTTTGTTCCAGCAGGTGGTACTGGCTCGAGTTTTGGGAACTGGTGGTCTGATGGGACAACGCCCCCGCTCCCCCTGTCTGACCATGACATCTGCCTGGCTCCTCCTGAGCGTCACGCTAAGACTGCAGTAGGGCTAAATCTGTAGTTGTGGAGTAGAATCTTTGGTTTGCTGTTGATTCATGTTTTCCCTTTCTTTATCATTAATTCATCACTTGTAAGTAAATCGTAGGTCAAGTAATAGTAAACGTTACTTCTGATTGGTTACTATATATTTTTTGGGCTCATTCTTAATTGAAGCGTAAAAGTTTCTAATGATTCTAAAGAAAATCTTAATCTTGAGAAATCTACATGAATCTCATTGAGTTTCTTTGTATGTGATAAAGCTCTATGGAAAGCTCAATAATTTATTTAGAATGGTTTGAAACTATGAGACTGATTTGTGAACTTCAATGTATTTTAATGCACACCTTAATAATGCAACCCAGCTGCCAGAGAAACATATGTTGCTTTTGTAATCATGTCCTGAACATTTACATTCATTAAACCAGCAGCGGACACGGTAACCTCTATGTCCAAATTACAGAAGTTACTCAAGCATATTCCTAAAATCTCAGAAAAATGACTTTGGTTAGGATGATAGCATACCTGGCTGTCCAGGAGGTCCTGGAGGTCCTTTGTAACCTTCTCCTTTGCTGCCTTTGGGCCCTCTCTCTCCGATGTCCCCTGAGAACATAAACATTTTCTTTAACAAAAAAAAAAGAAAAACCCTTTCATTTCATGCTACACTAACAGGTAAATGTACCAAAACGCTCCCAGCCCTCTGGGCTTTCTATTTGCCCGTTTACAACCATTTTAGTGACAATAATACATAACGGAATGAATTCTCTCAATCGGGATTTGTTTCGGATATTTCCATTTTCATCTCGGTTGTTTAAAATTTACTTTACATCCAGTCCACCCATTAAAGCTACATTTCTTGGGCAGGGCCATTTTGGCCACAGGCCAGCCAAATGGATAATGCTTTTGAAGAAATCAAGTGGGATAGATGCATTCATTAGTGCGCACACAAAGTCATTTGCAGCAACTTTATTGATGATTATTCTTTCAAACACATTTCATCTTTTTTTTTTCTTCAGCATTCATTTGATTGCACCGGATCTCACTGGTAATGGACCGGAGCTTCACCTTAACCACAGACTTGTTCAAATCCAAAGAACCTCTAAATGCCCCCCTGTTCTCTGTCCTCACTGGATTCAAATTAAACATCAACTATATCAAGGTTGACCTTTTTAGGGTCTTGGCGTAGACCCCTGGGTTGCTGTTGTTTGATCAAGTGAAAAACTTCACCGTGCATTTTGAGCCTGAAAGAACTCCATAAGGAGGCGGATCATCGACATACTGCCAGCATACTGGACGCTGTGGTGTTCTTCCCAGTCTCCTCCGAAGCAAAACTGAAACTTCCAAGAATTCCACATGATCTGATCAGTTTCAGGAAACCGTTGGGTGATGTCAGACCCTGGAACCTTGACGGGAATTAGCCGAGTCATACCAGTCTAGGGCAGGGATTTGATGTGTTTATGAGAATATATGTGTAGTTCTGTAGCTTCATGTGTCAAAGTGGCAACCTGCCCAAGTTCTAACCTGCTATAACCAAATAGGTTCAGTCATCACAACTGATTCCTTGATAATATTTTATCTGCATTCAAAGCATAAATCTTATCAGTACATTCTCTCTTAAAATTCACATTTCTTTCCACAAAAGTGAATGCATATCTACACAAACGGCTGGTCCCTTACCAGCTGCATGTAGCACATTTTTGCAAAACAGAACATGGAGCGGATGAGTGGGAGGAGTTGCTTCAGGATGCAAAAGTAATAAAGTGCAGTGAAGGATGTGTCATTGAGTTTTAAACTGCATGTTTTCCCAGTGATGGTGGTGGGAAGTTTCAACATAATCTGCAACTTAAGATGTATATAAATCTGATTTTGTTCTGGTTTGATTGGCCATTATTTTGTCAGCACAAAATGGTGACTGCATAGTCACCATTTTAAAGACATCTTATTATTTCTGGAATCAGTAGTAAAATATGTTGAGGCCTGTATTCATAACAAATGGACTTGAAAAGAGGAAACCTTGTGAAGATTCTCATTGTTTTTCACCTCCATGAAATAAGGAAAGGAAACAGATGAGACAAATCTGTCCATACGTGTTGGCTGGTTTTCCTCCTAATTCAAAACGTGTCAGGTCAAACCTTTGATGCCTGCCGGACCCTGCATTCCAGGTGGTCCTGGGTAACCTGGAGCACCACTTCTTCCGGGGTAGCCTGCAGCTCCCATGGACCCTTTGGGTCCTGGTGCTCCGGGCTCACCCGGGGGTCCCTTCACAGTGTTGCAGCTCTCACATGTTGCTTGGAGGGCGAGGCTCTGGAGGAGTGCTGGGAGCTGGTCTGCAGGTACAGTCACAACATAAATGATCCATTTTTAAATATGAGAGTTTGATCAATGAACTAATAAGAAAATGTTTTGTGTTAATTTGGAATCCAACAGCCACTGAAATCATTAAACTCATTGCTACTAGTTTCCTAGTTTAAGGAAAGGTGGTTGTTGTTTGTCTTACACCTTTCTTATTAATAGCAGCCATTTTGATGTTGGCTATCTTTGTAGAAAGGTCTTATTGTACATATGGTGCCTTCTAATTGTTTTACTGCATCTTAAACCTTCACATTTTGTCACATCACAACCACAGACTGTATATCACAGATCTGTTGCTTACGCGTTCATCCATCTTTTAGCCAATACTTTACAGAAACACCTTTTGCTTCAGGTATATCTGTCCGTCCTTCGAGGTGCCATCTCTTGGTTCAAAAGAAGCAGTTCAAGAAAAGTACCTTAAAATGACAGATTTCATTTTACACCTCTACACACTGAAGTTTTTGCCTTTTCTGTTCAAAACAGTTTAAAATCAGTCGGATCAGATGGAGAGCGTTTCTGAACAGCAGTTTACAAGTTTTGGCCTTAAATGTTCAGTCGGATTAAGGTTTGGTCTTTGACTGGACCTTCTTATTCATGAGCATGAACGAAAACTCATGAGAATATTTTCGACTTTTGTTTCAAATTTGTTTTCTAATTGTGATTGGGGCATTGCATTATTACATACTGTGAAGCTAGAAGGAGGTTTGCTCTTACTTTTATATTTTTAGAAAGTTATGATGTGTAACCGTACCTACAATTTTTTTTTCAGGCTCCTGAGAGATTTAGAAGCTCTTGAAAAATGCTGGATTTAATCAGTCAAGATTTAATGTTTTTCAGTCTTTCTCGACTTCAAACATCCTTCAACCCTTCCACGGTCTTAAGAGTCATTTGGCCTCCGTGAGCTTTTCACCCTCAGGTATTAATCAGATATCAGTTTAAAATTAAATTAATACCTGAGCTACAACCCAATAGGAGTTGGAAAGGAGGCTTCATGGAGGGAGAGCAGAACCAAAGAGCAGAGAGAGGAGGAGGAAGTCAAACTGTCTCTCCCATTGACCGTAAGGGCTGAAGATCACGTCCCCTACTCCAGCATCTCTCTAATCGTAGAGCCAGAAAGGGATTTGAAGAGGAGCGTCAAAAGCAAAAGAGCTGGATTAGCAGAGCTTCCCAACATCTGATGATGTTGCAGTAGAATATCTTCTTCAGTCAGAGGCTTCTTCAGATTTACTGCAAAGCTGACTGCTACCAGAGCTCTGTTCTCCCTACAGCATCACCATCCACCACTCTTTGAAGAAACTTTGATGATATGAGTTTCAACAATATTTGATTTTTCCTTTGGGATAAAAGTATTTTTGAATTGAACTGAACATGCTTTCACTGGTCCATTATAACTCTGGCTGTATGTTTCGAGTTATTGTCCTGCATGAACTTTCATCCCGGCCTCAAGGATTTTGCAAATTGTCACAGGTTTTCCTGTGCTCTGTATTTCCTTCCATCTATGTTCCAATCTACTCTGGGGCTGGAAGAAAAGTATGATGAAAGTATGACAAAAGTATAACGTATAGTATTTATAGTGGGGGTAGTGTGTTTACTCTGGTTTTTTGTTTTACAAAGCATTTAATAAACCAAGGTCTCATTTGACCAGATTGTTCCTCTTTAATGGTTTCCTGACAGGGAAACTTTAAAAAAGCAATGGACTGTGGATATGGACAGTCAATTGCTGTTCTGCATGCTGCTGAAGGGCAGAAGCTGAGAATGCAGGGCATTTCATAGACAAAACTTGACCAACTCTACCAATCCCGATTCCACTGAAAGTGCAGCCCTTTCCTTGCAGATTTTTCAGTCAGTCTCTGCAGAAGACGTTTCTGCAAAAACTTCTCTTAAAGCAGTTGATGCTGCTTTAGGAGATTCTAGGAGACTAGAATCAATTAGCAGTTGATTCTAATCTCTTAAAGCAGGACATTAGCTGAGTAAGTTAAAGATTTTGCATGAAAGATAATAAATACATGGTGGTACTTGGTTTACAGTCAGAGGGCAGTTAGCAGAGTATTATTAGCAATTTGAAGCTGTTGGTGTAAAAAATGATCAACAGGAGGAGCAGCGCCGCCAGTCTGGGCCCAAAGAGAGAAGAGAGTTGTGCTCTATTCTCTGAATGAGAATGATGAGTTTATGACTCATTTCCCAATGCTACAATTAGCAGGATAATTTATCAAGCTAATGTGCTGCATTGCATTAGAATAGAAGGAAACTGGTGAATGACTTCTAAAGCGCATTTAGAAACTAAAATGTATGATAGATAGATAGATAGATAGATAGATAGATAGATAGATAGATAGATAGATAGATAGATAGATAGATAGATAGATAGATAGATAGATAGATAGATACTTTATTAATGCCTTTGGCATTTTCCTTCAGGCAAATTGTAGTTCCGTTTATCTTAAATGTCAATCCGGAAAGCATTAAGAGTGACTCACTTTCTCCACATTTTGTTATGTTATAGCTTTATTTTAAATTATATAGAATAAAAATAAAAATGTGCTTTTTGAGCAAATTATTCTCTTTGCTCAAAAAGTCTACAAATACCCAAAGTTTTGTGTGTGTGTGTGTGTGTGTGTGTGTGTGTGTGTGTGTGTGTGTGTGTGTGTGTGTGTGTGTTTTTGAAAATTTATAAAATATGAAAAAAATGTCTGATTTCTATAAGCATTTGCAATATAGCTCAAAATGGAGCTGTTTCCACTGATCACCTCTCAGATGTTTGTAGAACGTAAATGTAACAAATTCAGTTGGAGTTCCACCACTAAATAAAACAGATTGCGATGCGAACAAACCTGAAAAAGTCACCTGAATACGTTTGCAAGCACTGTGTGGAAACCTTTAATGGACTTTCTTGAATGTTAATAAAAAAAAAATTCTAATTGTACTTTTCAGTACTTGGTGTTTAAAGTTATATTTAAAGCTTAAGCACTCATTGTTTGTGTTTTTAATTTGGCGGTAAAAAGGATTAGAACCATACGTACTGCGCAAAACATCCGCACACATCTTAAGAAGATGTTCATCTGAAGGAGATTTGCCCTGAAACACACAAATATGCCATAAGTCAAGAGAAGAGAAACAGGAATACACACATCTTGTCTTTAGCTATGCCTGCTCTACTCTACTTTACACGGTTCTTGTGGTTTTCCAGCTCTCTGTGGGAGGGGTCATTAGGAGGCGGCCAAAGGGCTGAAAAGTAACATGATATGATCTGTGCGCGACACAAAAACATTTTCACCTCGTCATTAGACCTCGGTCTCATTTCCAGTATTACTGTTTTACTTAAAGCTCAAAATACTTTCAGTCGTTGTGCCGGTCAGTCATATTTGTGACTGTTTGCACCGACTCTCAACCTTATCAACTCAGAAAGCTGTGTTTCCATTGACATTTCGAAAATACATTTGCTTAATGGGAACAGTCAATTTTGAAAAAAAAAAAAAAAACTCTTGTTTTTCTGTTAAAAGTTTTGGGCTAGAATGAGGATTTTTTTTACAGTTTTGAAATGGTTTATCACTTTTTCCGTATCATGAGTCACATGATCAACAACCGGATGTTGCCACTGGCACAAACTACAAAGACGACGACAGCAGGTAGTAGTTGGAGGATGTTGGTGCGGAATGTATTTTTAATGAATTCTTTCATGAACAAACTTATTCCCGTGTGATTTTAATTGCATTTCTGATTTAATGGGAACACTGCAATTGCAAAATTGTGTTTTTTCTACACTAGTTGAATACTGTAAAAGTTTTGCAAACATTTGTAATGGAAACGCAGCTGGCGTCACATACAAAATTGTTTGAGTTTGAGTTTTTGTACGTAACCATTAAAATTGACCTTAATGCGAACAAGTCCTGTAGACATCTGCCTTGAGAGAAAGTGCACTTAAGTGTATAGGGACCTTCAAACATCAATCAGGTCTTTCAGCCATTAGAGAAGTGCCAGTATCATTAAGCTTGTTGTATCCAGCTGAGCATCAAAATCTGAAGGGTTTTTACTTACCGGTTTTCCGGGATATCCAGGTTGGCCGGGCTGACCCGGAAGTCCATCTTGGCCAGGAAATCCCCGGGGACCAACAATACCCAAATGGCCTGTATCACCCTTCTTCCCTTCTGGCCCTCTTGGCCCACTTTCACCTTTTAATCCCCTCTGAGGGAAAATGCACAAAGTGTCACAATAGTATGAATGTTGGAACTGAGAGCAAAACCAATTTTTTATATTTTCTTTGCTGTTATTGTCCTTCGGTACAAACAAGTACAATGCCTTACAAAAGTACTTATACCCCTACAGTTAAAAGAAATATAAATATACATTTATGCCACTTTCCAACTTCTTTGTCAAAAACAGAAACTCATACACTAACTATGCACTGTTACACTGTTTTGTAATAAACAATGCATAAAATGTATAGACGTTTGTGGTTGTTACATAAAAAAAGTTAGAATGTTTTACTGTCTCACTAAATGACATTTCTATTCTATTCTATTTTATTTTATTTTATTCTATTCCATTCTAAGGCTTTTGTATTGTATTTACATTCATTCAAGAAGTTTGGTCCAATTAACAACATGTATTTATTGAACCAAACATCATCATCAAAGGAAAAAAGATCAAGAAAAAGAAAAAAGTAAGGGAACAAATGAGTAAAACAATGATAAAACCTATAAGTAGACAACTTTGACAAACACATCATCAGTTTAATCTAAAGATCTTTTTCAGTGTAACATAAGCAATGAAACTGAAAACAGGAAGGCTGGCGAACACTAGAAAGGGAAGTAGAGTTGTATTTTTTCCTGACTTTTTTTGCCTTAGCTTTGCAGAATACTACCAGTTTTATCCACCATGGCAGAAACTTTAGAGTCTGTTTCATTTTGACGTCATGTATTAACAGTAAAGGTAGAGCCAAAGGCAGCATAACTTAAAGCAGTGGTTCCCAAACATTTTCTCCTGCGCCCCCCCAGTGGTTTCCAAACATTTTCTGCGCCCCACAGTTTGGGAACCTCTGACTTAAAGAATCACTGAGCTATGTGACCTAGTGGGATTGCTTTCGGTGTCTTTCACTAATATTGGCACTGCAATCAAAGAAAAGTTGTTTCTGATCATCTTTGATTTTTGTATGTTTGCCATACAGATGTGTTAAAAGAAGTAACATTTGCATATAACCAGCTGGAGGAGTTCTGCAAGAAGGCTATGCTGCTTTCCAGTCCATTACTAGTTTTTCATTACAAAGCTTGTTACATAATTTAGCACTTAGTAATCTATTTCCTACATTGCTGCTGTGGGAAACTGCATCTTCATAAATTTGAGTTTCCACACAGTGCAGTAGGTACTTGACATTAAGTGCTTTTTAGATGTAAATGTTTCCCAAAGTGGTGGCAGATTTCCCCCAGGCATGAGGAATTAGCTCTTGGTCTTCTTCCACTGCAGACACTTGATGGAGCTACTTATTGTGCTCCAAAATAAGAGCTTTACAAACCTCTCCTTTCCATCCTTTGGGTCCCACATCACCCTGGCAGGAAACAGAAAATTGGGAAGGCAGAAAGGTGGGGAGGTAGAAGAGGAGATAGAGAGAGAGGGGGGCAATTAGTTGTAGCCTTTCGTGTATTTTGCTATTTCCACTGCTTGGAAATCATGGGTAATTTCAACACAAATATAAGAACCGTGGTCCACTGCCTATTCACGTTTTTTCTGTTGAACATAACTAAGTAATTTATTGAAAATCAAACAAAAATGCAGATTTGGAAGCTAAAATGCTACTTGAAACCGAAACGCTTGTTGGCTGACATTTTCAAAGCAGCCAACTAAAGAGCGCCATTTATTTTCCTTGACGCTGATTGGCTGAACCTCCCAGAGCAGAAATAAAGAAGACATTGGATGTTAGCTTCTGCAGTTGAGCTACAACAGTTTCTACTATTGTAGCACTACAACACACTAAATATTTTTTTATGTTAGTACTATTAAAATAAGGAATTATGTGTGTGCTGCTCTTGAAAAACATCACAGGTCAGCCATATTTTAACTGATCCATAAATATGGCTTTATGGAATCATACAGCAAAGAAAACTATAAAATTAACAATTCCAACAAGCCAACCAGTTTTTGGAGTTTTTTAACATAATTAATTGCAATTTATTACTATGATTAATCCAAATTCTTGCCATAATTAGAAGCTTCTCACAATAACCATACGATATGATAATCCCCACCCCAAACTGTGATGACTGTTTGGTGATTTCAGCAGTTTTCAAATATAACAGAAAATGTGACTTAAAATGGTAAACATCACTATTATCTGCTGGAGTTTTTCCGTGTGAGATCATGCTCGTGCTGCTGTCAGGAGCTTCATATCCACACGGAATTTAAAAATGCAAAGACTTTGCTGCCCCCTACTGGAAGAACAGACACTCACAGGTACGCCGGGAGTTCCTGGTTCTCCATCTTCTCCTCGCTGCCCCTGTAAACAGACAAAACATGATTGTCTGTCTCCTGCTACAGTCTGTGTGTATGTATTATATAGAGAGGGTAGCAGTACTATAATAGAGGGTTATAACTACTCCTAGCTACAAAGGGAGGTCATGTGTGGAGAGGAAGCTTTGTGGGCTGAGATTCAGTGTCAGCTTCTTCCCTATTGGTCAACATCAAGATCAAAATAAGGTATGTGACAGTGTGACACTAAATAAGGGGAATTATTTAGGGGAATTCAAAAGCTGCCAGTTTTGCCGGCTGTTTATAAGAAGTGTTTCTTATAAACACTTCTTGTGGTTGAAATACACTTTTCACAGGACCACAGTGATCCTCTAAAAGTGATACTCATTTAATCCTAGCTGAGACTTTTTTTTGAGAATTTAGTAAAATGCCCATCCTGTGTAAAAAAAATTATAACTAGTAAAGAGAGAACACATATGATGACCTCAAGTTGATGGAAGGTTCCTAATGTTACAGTATATGGTTAGTTCTTAAGAAAATAGTTGCTCAATCATGGTACAGTAACTAACTAATTTGGTTTGAAGACAGAAATACATAAGGAAAACAAATAATGATAAAACAATTATTATTTTTATTATTACTTTACTCTGAAATATTTGATTTAGGATGATTGTATTTTGCAGCTGTGGTGAGAGGTGAAGATTCTCCACCGTACCCGGTTTCCTTTGGAGCCGCTCTCTCCTCTCTCCCCCTGAAAACACAACCCAGAACTTTAGACTCCATGAAATCATACAGCCAAGTAATAACATGTAAACTAAATGAGAACCTGATGTTGAAGATAATTACATCTATGAATAGTGGCACCATTAGACTTTTTTCCCTTACAAATGTGCAAAAATTACAGTGTTTCCATTAAATAATAATTTAAATTTAAATCACACATAAATGTGCTTGTTCATATGATAAAAATCATGGCATCAACAGATGAAAACATGAGACATATTCATAATGCAGTCATCTATCAGCCAATAAGAGGAGACATTGGCGTCTCGAATTGGATTTGACATTGGAGCAACAAGCCCCGCCTACATGATGGAACGACACACAACTTTTTGTGAACTGTGTGATGCTCTGCTGGAGCCAGCTGCACACTGTCCAAAAAGATAAAAACAAACTATCATCCTGCAGCTACTTACAGTTGTTTTTGTAATTTGTCGTTTACCTTAGTATTAACCTCCAGCTGTTGACCATGTGACTTGTGTGATGCGAAAAAACATCTATTTTGATACTACAAACCACAAAACCACCTCATCCTAGCACAAAATCTTTTACTGAAAAACATTAGGGTTTTTTCAAAACTGGCATGTTTCCATCAGGCAAATTTATTTTTATAATTTCAATATTATGTTCAATGGAAACGCAGCTTGTGTCTTCTTGTTGAACAGAAACAATGCCCAGTGCGAACAGGAGAGAAAACTTAACACCTACTGCCAAAGAAGTGTGAAGGACATTTTTACACACTTAAAACGAATCATGTCATTATTGCACAAAATCAATAAGTATATTATGCTGTAAACATTTTCAGAATACAACATGGGCATTTTAAACATTTCCAAAAGCTCTGGAGCAAATATTTACTCTGAAAACGGTTGTCATCTGAAGACCTCACTCAGTGTGGATCAAATTGTCTGTACGTCTTGCTGATATTGGTTCTCACCTTATGGCCTTTCAAGCCTGGCCGCCCTGCAACCCCCGGTTGGCCCGGAAAGCCTGGCTCCCCTGCCAAACCCTGGAAAGGTCAAAGGTTATAGATCTTTGGAGAAGCACATCATTTCTTTTAAAAACGTTTTTCATTAAATTGGTATACAGAACAAAACATCTATGAAGTGATTTAAATTCATATTAGGTTCTTTAGCAAACAGTCATTTCAGTCTCAAGTTTTTTTACATGGTTTTGGATGCTGTGCAGCTGGAAGGTTATTGCTCTTCCTTCCTTTTTTTTTTTGCTTTCGGACAATTATGGTGCATATCCATGGCAACAAGGTATTGTTTTTGCAACTGGAAGCAGCTGGTCAGTACCTAAACGGCTCAGAAGCCGTTTAGGTACTGACCAGGTACTGACCAGTACTGACCAGTACTGACCAGTACCTAAACGGCTCAGAAGCTGCTACCCTGATATTGAACTGTTAGCATTTCATGACAGCCATAAAACTGTCATACAGCAACAGTCTTCAGTCAGAAGTCTTATCTGATTTGTTGTAAGACTGGCTGCTACCATCTAAAAGGACTCTTTGAAGATAAAAATTCAATTGAGTTGAAATTGTCAGTCAGGCTACAAAATCTTTGCTAGTATACCTTTAAATTAAATTGTTTAATATAATAAGATTTTAATGCGGTTTTGCTTCTAATGTGGCTATTTTAAGATGCTAACCTGAGTTTTATGTTTCTCTTCTTTCCATGATCTTTTTTTACATAATTGAAGGATCAAAATGAGATTTCCAGCTGCACTTGTTAAAAAGGAGTCTGCATGAACACTTAGCTTTGGTAGTGAACATTGTCATTCAAATAATATTAAAAAAAATATGGGCAGTGAATATGTTTTCAACATGTTAACTTACTGACTCTAATTCAAAAAGTATTTTTATGCTTTCAAATATTAAAATGTAAAATTAAATCCAATCAGATGTCTGTTTCCAATGGACATTACAGCTAAATAGAAGAAACTGAGTTTGTTGAAAGATGCCTGTTCATGTTACCAATGGGTGTTTTCTACCTGGATGTCAACACCTTGTTGAAATATTCTTTGTTTTCAACAAGATAAAATGAGCCAAAACACATGAACTACATTGAGCAGGTTACTTTTCCAAAACCCACAAGCAAATCTTCACTCACTTTTAATCCTGGAAGACCAGGAGGGCCGACAACTCCTGGTTCACCACATGAACCCTGTGGGCAGGAAAAAGAGAAAATGTGATGACGTCATCCAGCTCTGAAACAAACTGTAAATCTGCATTTAACCATCTCAGTCACCAGCACACTGGTATCACACCATATATGTATTTTACTGGGTTTTTCACAGAAGGCTTCCTGGAGGAAATTGGAATACTATGATCAGATATACTCTCAACTGATTCCATCCTCTTCACTGTTTAACTTGCTGTGATGATCACAACAGGTCATTCAGAGGCCACATGACTTTTCTTAAGAAGAAAATGTCATCACTCTTGGTAGAGTTTGAAGACTCACTGGTTTTATATTTTTGTCAAAGCTATAGGATTGTGGTGTGTCGAAAAACCCCACAATTTTGCAATTCAGATGTTTCCATTATATGAGAAACATAATTAATCCAACATGAATAAGTTTATTCACACAATAAGGGATGAAAAACAGGCTGCACCATCATCCTCCTGCTACTTCATAGTGGTCGCATCTGCCATCCGGTTGTTGGTCATGTGACTCGTAGGATGTGAAAAAGTGCTTCCAGTTGCAGTTTTGTTAAATAAACCAATTTCAATATGACCAAAAAATTTTCAAAATTGTTGTGTTTCCATTAAGCAATTTTATTTTCGAAATGTCAAATTGCACAATTATATGATCAATGGAAACGCAGATAGTGTTGACAAAAATCTGCTACCACCTGAGTTGGATGAAGATCACAATAAAAACCTTAGTGTTGGGTGTGAACGTGAATGTTGGATGGCTATGTAATATAACTGCTTATACTGCTCAATACACTGACCTTGGGACCAGCTTGGCCGATTTCTCCGGGGGGTCCCTGGGGTCCCTGGACTCCCTGGAAAGACAGACAGAAAGGAGACACAGTGCTGGTTTTCAACCAACAAAACTACACAAAACTCACATCATCTGTGGTGGTCACACATTATTTCAATAAAATAAGAAAAACATAAAAACGTACAGTTGACATATTGAGCAAAACAGTATCAAGCTGCATCAAAAGCCTGGCTTTGTTATTGTTTGTATGTCTTCCAATTATAAAATAAATAGACTTATGAATAGACTGGTTTTTATATGGGTTTTAAATGCAAATGTATTTATAAGCCTTACACATTTCCACATTTTGTCACATTAAAGCTACACACTTCATTGTATTTTACTGGGATACATGTGGCTGGAGAAAACAAAGGAGAAGATAATTGTGAAGTGGAAGGAATACAAATAAAAATCTGACGCGTGCCATGCATTTGGCTTGGCTTGTGGGGTTTTTTTTAATGGTTTTTCTCTTGACGATGGTTTTCTTCTTGCCACTCTTGTCCAAATTCTTTATTTACCATATGTATCATGAAAAATCCCAATAAAATACAACAAAAGTTGGTGGCTGTAACATGGCAAAAATATGAAACGGTTTAAGTGAAGTGAATACTCTCACAAGGCACTCTGTTTGTAACCTACAGTGGCTGATGCAGAGCTGTCCAGCAGGCTGTGCATGCTCTCAGGAGGGTGTGAGAGACAAATGCAGTCACTTGTTACTGAAAGACACATTTGTGTGCTGACTGATTCAGGCTGATTTGTTAAAACAGGAAGTTCTTCATTGTCTCCCTGTTGATCCGTTGAGTCCCCAGGTTATGCTGGGTCAGATTACATCCTTACATTTTATGACACGGTAATTTGTAATGCTTTGGTCTGCACACCAGAGGGCAGCATACATTAAAAAACAAAAACAAACGGTTCGAGCTCTCCAAGAATCAGTGTGTGACTGAGTTTAGATTCTCTCCACACTAATTCACTGGTGCATTAATCAGACCGATGTCTGGATACCCACTGTGGACAACAACAGTGGGTATCCACGGCACCCACTGACGGTACATGTATACTGTCATACATTCGCTCTCAGAAGTCTTCACACCCGCGTTATAGTGCTGTGTTGTTTTTTTATTGTTATTGGTTTATATATAAAAAAAATGTTTGGCAGCTTGGGGAGATAAAAAAAAACATTTACTGCTTATATTGAATAATCAGTATAAAAACCCAACACGCCACATAGTTGATATTGGATTTTGGCCCAAACTTGATGAAAAGACAACACTAATAAAAATAGCCAGGAAAACTGCAAAGAGGTCTATATCGACCCTTCAGGAACTGCAGGAATTTTCCTGCTGCTTGTGTTTCACATGTTATACTGGACTCATAGATTCTCTCCACATGTTTGGACTAAGAAGAGGGTTGCAAAACAGAATTATTTTATTCCAAAAACAAAAAAAAACATCTAGATGTGGCTTTAATCTGACATTAAAGCCACATCTTTAATGTGGCTTTTATTTGTGGCTCTATTTTTTTTCATAGGTAAAGGTGATGATTTTGAGCATGCTGAAAAAACAGAAATGTTAAAGCAAATCAAAAGCCAAACGCAATTCAAGTTCCAATTTGAATTGCGTTCAAATTGGAACTTTTGGACTGTCTGTTATTTTTTCAAATGGAACTGAAGATGGTATTAATAGAGAGGAATTTTTGAGGAGTTCCAACAATCCAGGACTAGATCTAGTCAATTACTAGAGATTCATCTCTCTGTCTTCACCACCCATGAGAAATGTTACAGAGGAAGACGAAATGTCCTATTGGCCCAAGTATTGACAACAGTACCAATAAATGTGTCACAGGTGATTTTATATTTTTTTTATTTATTGAAGGCATTCTTCATCAGGAGTTCCAAAAAATAAGGCCAGAGCAGTATCTTAGAGGGCGGAAAGGTGACTGATTATCCAAAAGTGTTTACAGAATGTCACTCCCATAGCGAGGACCAAACCCATCCTCCTCTACCTGCTTGAATGCTCACTTTTAGCTATGTTACATTTCTAATACATACAAATTGGGGGGGGGAAGTATTTGTCTGTTCTTACTAATTGAGTCCTGACAAAACATTTTAAAACTTGAAAGAGTACTAACCAGGTTTCCTTTCAGACCAGGTGGCCCCTGAAGCCCAGCTAAGCCTTGTTCGCCCTAACAATGGATTCAGAAGCATAGGAATGTGTTACGGATGTTAAATCAACAAGAACACCTACAAAAGTCAGTTCAGACATTACCGGAGATCCCGGTGGGCCCGTTTCACCAGGAGGTCCGATGGGACCCTGTGGATGGCAGAAGAACAGAAAGTTGAGATGAAATTTACTTCCTGTTAAGCCAAGTTAGAGAAGGGTTTTGATAAATATCGCTTTATATTTACGGATGGAAAGCATTACATGTAGCTTTTTACAGTACTTGGAAAAAATATTATAGAACAAGAATTTCTCCACAGCCTCCATCATGCTAACATTTTCTGTTATTCTGAAAGAGTTAGAATATTTCTTCAGATTCCTTCTTAAAGTACATCTTGACAACCCAAAGCAGGAAAAGTAACATTATATTTTTTCCATCTTGGAGTTTTACAATTTGAAAAACAATCTTTGAAACACTGGAGTTGTGTTGGAACAAATTTGTTTATGGCAGTATGAATAGGAGGTGATAGCTTGCATTTTCTTGCTTGTCCAGGCATTTTTTTTTTCATAGGTAAAGGTGATGATTTTGAGCGTGCTGAAAAAACAGAAATCTTAAAGCAAATCAAAAGCCAAAGCCCCAAGGCCTGCCTGCAAAGAGCTAAAGGTTCAAACTTTGAAAACATGCTTTAGTGCCAAGTTTTAACATGTTCTTTAACATATTTTCATTACTTGAATATAGAGCGCAAAAGATGATCCTTAGCAGTGTGTTTGGATAAGTCCGGAATCAACAGGTTTTTTCATGGCAAGATGAGTTCAATCATAAATTATGGAATGACTGTTGTTAAAACAACATCACCTGTGCTCTATCATTTTAGTATGTTTGTGATTATCATGTTTACTACCACCTTATTACTACTGTTACTGATCCACACAGATAGATGAAAGAACCATTACACAATGATGTAATATTTTACATCCCTTTTATTTTAGTAGAAAGACACTGAAATAAAAGACACTTGAGTTAAATCTAGAACATTTAATAAAATGTACTTTCTCAAATTAGTTTAATCTAGTTGTCAACATAATTTCAGACATCTTTGTTCTCCTCCTAGGTTAAAAAGGAGCATAGTTAACAACTGGTTTGTCATTTACATTTTCCTAACAACAAAGGGTAAATTGTAAAGAACTACCTCAGAGTTTAGGAGCACATCTTGGTAATAAATTTGAATCAAGCATTAGCACTGGCACTAAACAAGCTAATGCTGAATACAATCTTAGCATTGCCTGCATAGGAATTCTTTCCCTGATACTTAGCAACTTCTCAGATCCCCTTGACAACACTTTAAACAAATAAATAAATGGTTACTGTTGGAGACTGATGTGAAAGCATATCTCATTGATTTATTTTATTTTTCAGCTTCTCGTCATCTACATTTAGCTCTCCATTGTGACTGTAGTCATTTTCAACCCGTATCTTTCAGCTCTGTCATTAGGTCTGTGGATGGATGAGAATACATGATCTATGTGAAGCTCAACCTGCTCCTCAAAACCAAATCATACTTCCACCCTGAGGAGAGCAGACGGCAAGCAGGAGACAGAGAAATTATTAGACTAAATTAACCAAGAGCAAGGAGGAGTTGAGCTTTTCTTTCCGATAGTTACAACTTTAACAGCCAGTAAGTCCAGTTTGTAACCAAATTCCAGGAGTTCTGTTTTCTTTTTTAACACAGTAATGTCATTAGAACATATCTCATTATTGAGTGTATCCCAAAGCAGTGTGTAGCTACTGTTAGCATGAGACTTTGAGAAGCAAAGGCAAACTGTTATTTAGAGCCTTCATCAGAAGGTAAGTGCTTCAAGCTAGGTTTATGCTACTAGGCTAGTGTTTCCAGAGCGCTAATTAGCCGCATCCCCAAGTGCGCAGACAAGGAAGACTCTAGTCTAGATGTTAGCTTCTGTGGTAGTGCCACAATTAGCATCTGCTTGACAGCTTCCTTTTGTCTCTAAACTAAAGGACTCTTTCACATTATTCTAAAGTCTGGATCACATTTGATGATCTATAGTTCGACATCTAAAACGCTTAGTTTGAGATATAATAAAATCTTAGTTGCAACAACAACTAAGAGATTAATTTTCACAACTTTATTGGTAGTAGGGACCACTTTAGAGATAGACAGGAATTTAAAAAATTAAAAAATAAGTTAAATCGACTAGTTGGAGTTACAGTGGTTGGCGACATTTTAAAACCTAGTTTATGATTTAAAAACATTTAATCTATTTATGAAAACATATAAAACATAAAAAATGGCAAAAATATTGCTATGAATCCTGAGCTAGAACATATTGCTATATCCAAATTTCATATTTATAACTCCAGTTTAAATGTTTACTGCTCAAATTCAAAATGAAAGCTTAAAAAATCTGAACTTGCTTAAATTGTTAATATTATACTTTTTATATAGTCTCTAGCTTTTTTGTTGTTTAAACAGACATATTATGCATGGGTCTTCTTTTACAAACAGGGTTTGCGTGTCTGTGAGTAGAACAGTAAATCTTCAACTCGATGGAATGAACATGGAAACAGTTTTATGATGATTGTGTTACAAGATAATAAATAGTACAGTAAAACTGTATGGAACCATAAAACTAACTGCATTCAGAGTTGAAGATTCCTGTGAGTCTGAATAGGGAGGGGGAGTTTGGCTTTACGTTCCAGCGGGGAGTCTGCTCAGCACACAACACTGCAAGCAGTATGGATGTACAGAGGAGTGTGTGCTTCCACCAGTGTGTAAATGTGGGTTTCACCTATAAAATAGAATGATCAAGCATTGCAAAATACATGTTAGGGAATATCTGGATTTCACTAATCAAAAGGGGACAATGAGCGAAAGATAGAAAAATAAGAACTTTTTGTTGCTTTGTTTATGTATTTGAATGTGCAGTCATAACTGTTTTCTATAAATTGAGAGTGTGGTTGTGGTTGCGGGGTGTGACTGTGATGAGTTTTCTACTCAGATATTAAAATGTGGACATTTAGAGTCTCGGTGTGTACGTTAGTTTCAAAGGGTAGAGTTTTATCTTGAGGATTTAAAACAGTTAATGTTCTAGGGCTTCTTCTCATATAATTGTATGATATCTTTGTCTGAATCGCTGTTCACCAATCAGCTAACATTTTGTACCCCAAAAACAAGTCCGACTTCAGTATAAAGCATCTCTGGAATGTGTCCTGTGGGATTAGGCTTGTCTGGGGTTGAGCTCCAATGGTTCTATGAGGTTGGAACCAGATAAGGACCTTGTGATAAAGACCATGGCCATACATGTACTCACAAACGTAATATTTATGTGAACTCACCAGGGCACCTTTAGGTCCAACATCACCAGCTGGTCCAACATCACCTGTCTCCCCCTGAGGAGACAAGAACCATGGCAGTGCATTCCACATCAAAAACAATGATGATATTAGATTCACTGGACTATTTTTGTTTGTTTGTTTTGTTTTGATGTCCTATTAAAATTGTCCAATGTCTTACATCCGGTAGGCAACAATCCTCTATCTATCTGCTCTCTGCAGCAGAAACTTATTTGTTTATTTAGAATATATTATGCACAGAGATAATCATAGAAATGTAAATACACCAGAATTACCCAAAGGGCTATTATGCATATGTGTTTCCCAGCAGGTTGAATTGATAAAACAATAAAAGATAAACAGGAAACTGTCAAACACACAAGGCAAGGCAGGTGCATTTTCACAACACCATTCAACAATGGAAGGATTGAAAACAAAAGAGGAAGCAAAAGGAAGAATGTTAAAATCTAACATACAAGATTTAAAAAAAAAAAATAAAAGTAAAATTTGACATTTGTGGGAAAGCAGCAGTCTCTCCTTATTTAAAGGAACCAACAGCTTATGCACATCTCAGCTTTTCAGGTAGTTTGTTCCAGAGCCAAGGTAGCCTAGAAGTTAAATCCTACATTCCCCTGGTTGGTTGTGGGAATGCAGAGTGAAGAGGAGCTAGCATACTCCAGACCTGAAATGTAGTTAGGTCCAAGATCATCCAGAGTCCTATAAGATGTCAACGACATTTTAAAAAGCCAGTGCAATGATTTAAAGACCAATGACATTGCATGAGCTATTTGACTGATTTTTTATTTTTAACAGATACTAACATAAAGACACCATTTTAATGGTCTGCTGATTTTATTTTCCTTTTGTGCTGCTGAGATTAATCAATCCAATTGGAAATTCATTAGTCTGGATGTGTTTTTGCATGTTGTTGCTCTTTGACATCTGTTTATCCAGATAAGTAGAATGCAGCTCCAGTAGAACCAAGACAGGAGACACTTATTTACTGCTATGCACCAACCTCCTTATTTTTTCCCTTTCAGTACTGAAGGCATCAGAAGAGAAACCCTAAACTTTTTTGATTCCACACTGGCACATAACATAAATGAAAGTGCTGCTGTTACTCATAGTGTGGTCTTGTTTTATGTTACTGTGGCACTTTAAGAAGTTTGACAGAGGAAGTTAACAACATCCTTTCCCTCCTCGCCACAAAAAGTACTTTAGGGTAAACTGTTCTGATATTTTCAAAGATTTATTCAACTGATGCTGTTTTTATTTTTATTGGTGAGGTGGGGATATTAATTTTCCTTCTTATGCCTAACAATTGGCAAGCTAACACAAGCCTTGTAGCTGAGAAATCTAGTGAGAGGCATTAGTGGCAAACAGTAAAAAGAGGTGGTGCCATGTTGTGCCGTTGGACTTTTTCTGGCAAAACGAGTTAATCAACCATGTCCAGATAAAAGTTATAAAATCCTTATATCCTTGTTAAGTGAAACACCTATGTAAATGTAGTACTATAAGTCTAGAAATGCTATCTTGGGCAATACAATAAACATATACAAAAATTCAGTAAGGCACTTTTTTTCCAGACGAAAAAAGGCAGGTGCTCACCTTCAAGCAGGTCTCATCACCAACCTGCTTGAAGGTTAACCTCTGCTGCAGTCTTGAGCCTTTTCCAACCTTTAATAGAATTATCTGGTGTTTAGTTCTATCCATGCTGTCCTTCTCTTACTGATAAGTGTCCCCAGAGAAACATGCTGGCATAGCTAATGTTTCACAGGGATGAAATTAAATATTGGGGTAGATGTACAGTCAAGTCCATATGCCAGAAATAACATTCTGGACGTGGGGGAGTAAGTCATAATTTCATCTTCAGTGGCTTTCATCTAGCCACTATTTCATTTGATGAAAATCATGAATCATATCCTCCCATTTCACAGTTATGCTCTTCTTAGTCTGTCACATGTAATCTGAATTCAGCTCTTAAGACTCCAACATACCTGGATGTACTTCAGTCTGTGGATGTCCTCATATACTCAATGCAGACTCAACATGGCCTCAAAGTCGAAGTCCGCGCAAAGAACAATTTTTATGACCACGTACGCACACTCTGTGTAAACTGCTCAGCACAGTGTTCACATCAAATTGTTTTGCATGTGACACTGGGCTGATAAAGTTGTTAGTCAGCATAACCAGTCGCAAGAACACACAATGTGACTGCCACTCTGTCCCTTGCCGTGTAGAGGCTGCCATTATAAACGCCTAACTAGCTCACCAAACTTGCGAGTATCCACTAGGATTGTGGGAAATAAAGGAATATGTCACAAGGAATGCAGACAATTGGTACACTTGACAATAAAATTCCAAATGTGTGCAGAAAGTGCTTGTGCAGTCTGCATGGCTCACAGCAGGGGTGCCCAAGTCCAGTCCTCGAGAGCTACCATCCTGCAAGTTTTAGAAGTATTCTTACTCCAACAGACCAGGATCAGCTGTACAGAGGCCTGATAAGGAGCCATTCATTTGATTCAGGTGTGTTGAAGCAGGGATGCATCTGAAACTGGCAGGATGGTAGCTCTCGAGGACTGGACTTGGGCACCCATGGCTCACAGGGTTCGTACAGTTCGCTTGAGTATGCAGGAGCCTTTTGAGTTTGGTGGGTGGAAAATAGCAAAATATGGAACTGGTTAAGAGGTATGAAGACTTCCAACATTATGTAATGTTCTTTTGTACACCTTCTTGAACATTAACACAAACTAGGTGAGCAAGCAGCAAGCAGCGTTCATGGTGAGCAGAAGAGCAATGAAAAAGGACTATCTGACATTTGCAAGCTGCATTTTCATTCCGGAACCCAGAAGCTACTGTCTGAATATTGATTCAGACATTGGTTTTAGTATCAATCAAAACCACATGCCTGTACTGAAAATCTCAGGGACTTTCTGGGTTTTTTTTACACTGTTGGTTATGTCATGAGTTCATATCTGGCAGCAGTTTTTACTGATGCATGGGCACAGCTTGTGTGGTGAGTCCTGTGGTGAGAGCTCTTGCATCAAGTGAGTGGACAGGCAGGCGGCTTGTAAAAACATAAAAACTAAAGACCACAAACAAACATATCCAAATAATCCCTCAGCAATCTGTCAGACCCCAGAAGCTGCAGAGTGAACCACAGCATTTCACTGGTACTAGCAATGACCATGTAAAACAAGCTGTAAAATGTATTCTGGGACAACAGGCTTGGAATTCATTTGTAGATCACATGCCCTCTGGATTCCTTCAATGCAACCAGATTGTCATTCTGTTAGGTTACCACTGAGTTCTAATTTACTATGTCTCAAGGGTAAATACTGGTTTGTTCTCATGTGATGAAACTGTCATTATCAGTTCTATTCATTTCAAACTAAAAAGCCAAACAGAAAACTTAAGGCTATGTTCCCCCTACCGGGATGTCAAAAACAGTTGTCCATTTTATACACCCAAAAACATGAAAATAAGGGAATAATCTGCACATCCTGAGTCATACTGAGTCCTACGTTGTAGGAGGTACAAGCTTCAATAGCTGAGATGGGAGAGACTCTGCAAACTACATCTGTTGCCCAGGTTCTTCACAAGTCAAATCTTTATGGGAGAGAAGCAATGAGAAAACCATTGTTGAAGAAAACTCAGATAAAGGCTGGACTACAATTTGCTAAAAGACATGTGGGAGACATGTCTTTTAGTATGTCTCCCACCAAAGAACTTTTAAGTAGAAAAAAATTCTTTGGCCTAATGAAACCAAAAATGGAGTTATGTGGTCCTTAGACAAGATGCTATATTAGGCAGACACTGAACAACACCACAAGCACACCATCCAGATCCGTGAAAGCTTGTAAAAGTTAAAGGTAAAGTGAACTAAGAGAAATCCAGGGAAATCCTTGAGGATGGTTAGTTTCCATCTGGCAGAGATGCGGATTCAGAGAACATTTATATTTGGGCTACCACAAGGTTAATTCCCGATGCACTCGTGTGTTTGAAGAGGAAAAAATAAAATGTCCATAGCGCTCCGATGTAAAAATATAAACAAAAATTTATTCCACAGTTTTTTGAGTAAGTCTTTACAAGAGCAATAAAGTCCTTCACTAACCTCTACAAACAAACTACGGTTGAAAAACCGTGCGGCTCAGTCGCTCCCTTAGCAGCGCCTTCCCTTCTATCTGCCGTCTCCCTTGGCTACACGGCCCACCTCATTTGCATAAAATTGCCAGGTGGCCAATTAAGCTATAAAATATACTTCTAGTAACACTTATTCACAGTAAAACATCATGAAATTAGTTACATGCAATATTAATAATTCTACCTAAAATTTCAACAAAAACACTTAGTACATTTCTAATTAAGCAAATACATTTTAACAGTAACTGAATACTTTATAGATTAACTTGGCCTCCACAATTTATTTTCCACCAAGACAATGACCCGAAGCATCCGGTTAAAGATACATGGGGGCAGGAGTATTTACTTTATGTTAAATACTTCTATTCAATTGTGACATTTTTTTGGGAAGGGAAATGTTGCAAAAGCAATACAAAGTGTAAATTATTCAAGGTTTGAGTATATTTTGTAGGCGCTGTATATGGTAAAAAATCTAAAGTGTTCCTGCCACATGTCTAAGTCACAGCCATTAGATCCTCCTCAGTGATTCCTAAGCTTTATCTCACCATAGTGTTGTGGTTATGCCCCGTGGTCACCTACAAACTATATGTGCCCAGAAAAGCCCCTTAATGGAAGCCAGGAATAAGCCTTATCAGATTCCACAACCAGTTCAACTGGATCCCGCACACATTAAAGAACAGCAGCTCACCCCCATCACACAACATCATTCCAAGAAAACATCTTCGCCCTGCAAACACAGGCTGGATTGTTCCCTTAGTCATTCATAATTGTCCCCGGCTGTTTATCTGTAAATTGATCTTGGAAGGAAAAGTCACAGCAAAGCTTCACACGTGCTAATCACAGATGTAAAGCAAAGTTTATTATCACTATTATTATGATTTTATATGGCAGACCAACAGCATGATTTTGAAGTGAATGACTTAAAAATGTTTACAAAATTGTAGTACAAATCTGAAAAAGTCTAGCTTGCATTTGTAGTCAGCAATCTCTACCATGAAACATGGTGGTAGAAGGACCATGTTATCAGGAAATTTTTTTTATGGAAGACGGACGGAGATAAATACAAAGCAATCCTGGAAGAGAATCTGTTAGGGACTCCAAAAGGCTTCAGACTTGTTCAGAAGTTTACCTTCTAGCACAAGCGTCTCCAACTCTAGTACTCTAGGACCGGTAACCTGCAACTATTTGATGTGTCTCTGCTTCCACACACCTGAGTGAAATAATCAGGGCATTAGTAGGAATATGGAGAACATGACTGAATACTAAGGATGTAATTAAGCCATTTGATTCAGGACTGT